TATATATATCAAGGAAAAGTTAATGGAACTCCTCAAGTTAAGGACCCACTCCTCAGTATGTTCGAGTGCTGAAGTGAGAAAAAAAACATACATGTAGTAGCTTGGCACATAATAAGAACATTTTGAAACTCCAAAAAAATTATCAATTCAAGCAACCCTATGTACACATGGTATACCTTTAACGTCAACAAAGGGAGGCTCTCGTGGTCTAGAGGTCAAAGTGCTCGACTCTCATTCAAGAAGTTCCGGGTTCGAACCCGGTAGCGGCAAAAAATGTTCTTCTCTAAAATTGTCTCCTATCACATCCTTTCCTGTTCTCTAACAATATTCTGTCGTTTGCTTTCGTCTCCAGATTCTGCCCCCACCCTCTCATCTCCTTGGCCCCCTCCTCTGGGCTCTTGACTCTGTCTGCAGCCTTTCTACTGCTTCTCCTTGACTTCTTCTTACTGCTGTCTTTTACTTTTAGCCACACCCTTTTTTTAGTAGAGGTTTTACGGCACTCACAACTGCATAAGGTCATATGAGCGCCAGAAGAATAGAGGTGTTACAAGAGAGTAACAGACATAAAAAAGAAGGGGAGATAAGAACAGTAGATGTTTGACAGGAAAGAAGAAGCAAACCACACCAGAGCCACACCATCTGATCTTACAGTAGGAAAGATCTACACCTAACCTTCTCGGACAAAAGCGAAAAATCTCGGAGGTCCCATGTGCAAATTGCGCACGTTAAAGATACCTTGGGGGCCCAACATTGACAAGAGTAGGCTTCGGCCCGTCACCCGGGCAAAATTTTTTTTAATTCCTACGAACTGAAAATGTTTCTTCTGTCCCACGCGCTCATGTGACCTAATGCAATTGCGAGCGCCGTAAAACACATACCATAATAATAATCACATTAATAAAAATAAGGCCAAAGCCAGTGTGAGACGCATTAGAATCTAAGGATGTGCATTCGTGTCATTAGACAACGCCTGAAATAACGGTGTCTTGGAGCTCATAAAAAAGAAGTGCAGTGTGTATGCCTTTTATATTCAGTGTAGAATACCCTCCCATTGCATTTAGGTTTAAGAGACGAGCCTATTTTTACCGCATTTAAAAATGGGTTTAAAATATTTAAAGTTTATTTAAATCCTATTCTACTGCAGACTTCAAAAAAAGTTAAGGGCCACCTTGGCAGATAGCCTTGATTTTTTTTTTTTATCCTAAAAAGAGACGGCAAGGAATGTTTCGATTTTTTTTTTTGTTGCTCTGAAAGTGTTAATGGGTTACCAATGCGTACTGCAAAGCTTCCTAAAGGGGCAAAACCACCACGTGCTGCACGCAAATCCTCGGGCAATTTTAGACACATTTACAGTTTTTTTATCGACTTGTGTGCGACGCCACGGACATTCCTCGGTTAAAATTTCTAGTGCACGTCATAAACGGACGTACGGTCTCAAACTGAGCTCACTTTGGTGGCAATATAAGCCGCCGTTTGCTCAAAATCCGGTATCGCATCAACATGTCACCAACACGAAACCTGGGAGACTTTCATGGTGCCAGAGCTATGGCATGGCTGCGAGATGGAGTTGGAGCCCGAGAAGTTGCCAGAAGGCTTGCAGTGTCACACTCTGTCATTGTCCGCCTGAGGCAGCGCCATCAAGCCACTGCATCCACCCAAGAGCGCTTACATGCAGGTCGACCCAAGGAGAACACTCATAGTGTTTGCAAGTGCTCCTTAACTTTTGTTGAAGTCTGTAGTTAGTTCGATTCTTCTGTAAACAAGTGTGATCATCAACCACATAGGGGTTGTCTTTTCGTGTATATTATGTTGTGTTCATTTGTTGTCATTTTGCGGGTGTATAATACTATG